AGGAGGTGGCAGGATAATTTTTCGAATTTGTGGTCAGGATTTTGGATTTTGGTATCAGGAGAATATGATGTGCGAGGAGGTGGCACGAAGGAATTTCGGATTCAGGGTCCGGATTTTGGAATTTGGTATCAGGAGAATATGATATGCGAGGAGGTGGCACGGAGGAATTTTGGAATCAGGGTCCGGATTTCGGAATTTTGTATCAGGAGAACATGATATCAGAGGAGGTGGCACGATGGAATTTTGGAATTTAGGGCCAGATTTTGGAATTTTGTATCAGGAGAACATGATATCAGAGGAGGTGGCACGATGGAATTTTGGAATTTAGGGCCAGATTTTGGAATTTTGTATCAGGAGAACATGATATCAGAGGAGGTGGCACGATGGAATTTTGGAATTTAGGGCCAGATTTTGGAATTTTGTATCAGGAGAACATGATATCAGAGGAGGTGGCACGATGGAATTTTGGAATTTAGGGCCAGATTTTGGAATTTTGTATCAGGAGAACATGATATCAGAGGAGGTGGCACGATGGAATTTTGGAATTTAGGTCCGGATTTCGGAATTTTGTATCAGGAGAACATGATATCAGAGGAGGTGGCACGATGGAATTTTGGAATTTAGGGCCAGATTTTGGAATTTTGTATCAGGAGAACATGATATCAGAGGAGGTGGCACGATGGAATTTGGGATTCAGGATCCTGATTTTGGAATTTGGTATCAGGAGAACATAATATGTGAGGAGGTGATAGGATAATTTTTCTAATTTAATGTCTGGATTTTACAATTTTGGTATCAGGAGAACATAAATTATGAAGAGGTATCTCTGATGCTACTTCTTGGAATTTTGGTGACGTAAAATTCCAGAAATTCTCATGTTCTCTTGATACAAATTCTCTCTTTCGAATATGTAAATTTTTATTGTGCTGAGTTTGTTATGTAAGAATAAATACACAATGATTGTTGATAAATTTTTCTTTATTTTTACCACTTTTCATACAGTGCATGACTTAATTAAACATATTGTTTAATCATGTAATTACTAAGTTGTGGAACGCCTGTGACATGCACAAAGAATTAATTGGTTAACCTTGACACCCTGTGCAGTCCTAAACCATAAAAGATAGATATGCACAGTAAATTTTAACAGAGTAGTCAAAGAGAAAGCAGCTACAGCACTCTCAATGATGACGTAATTAGTTTTTATGTATCCCTTAAAAAGTGTCCCTTAATAAGGATTTACTGTACTATCGTTGTAAGAGCACAAATATAATATTTTCCTGCCTTGTTTTCAAGCATGCGTACAAGGTCTCAGAGTAACTCACGGACATGTTTCTGCGCTATAATATGATGATGATTATTATCATTTTGGTACTTCCCTTTTTATCGATGACTTCCATTTTATCATTTTGTCCAAGGAAAACTAAACATTCTCCCAACTTATATCTTGAACCGAAGCTTTCATCTTTATTTTAAAATTAACAACATTTATTTTAGACTAGCAATGTAAAACAGCACGGTGTACAATTCTTCTTATCTTAAATTTATTCATTACGAATAGCAAAGATAATAACAGTCAATAATAAATAATATAATGTGGAATGTTTTGTATCAATCGCATTAAAAACAAACAGAAAAAGTGAAAAAAAATTGTTACAAAATATTATATGTGCTATATTTCATAAAAAACATAAGTGATTACATTTAAGAGGAAGTTTATTTCGTGGTTCTCAAACTAGTTATATAGTGTTCTTGGCATGTCATAATTTGTCCGACCCATTTTTTAAATTATCAATTCTTATATTTTCTAACCTTCAAGTATTTAAAAAATCAGATCTTCAAGTTTTTATAATTTCCAAATCTCTAATTCTTTCAATTTTCAAATTCTCACACTTCCAGATTCCTAAATTCTTTAATACTTTAATAAAGATTCGTAAATTCTGTAATACTTTAATACCCAAAATTCTAAACTTCTCAATTCCAAAGTTACATAATTCCACATTCTCAAAATTGGTAATCCCAAAAATGAATAAATTACCGAATATCAAAATTTCTAAATCGAAATTTCCTCAAATAAGAATTTGCCAAAATAATTCTGTCACTCTTACTACATATTACCAGACTAATACACTAAATACGCTAGTGCCCCTAAGGCACCTAAACGCACAGTTTGAGAACCACTGACTTAATCTGAACGAAGTATATTTATTCAACTTGTATTTTTGCCTTTATGTTTTCCTTCTTAACGTTTTCGTAACACAAAGGTCCGCAATGTTCAGCGCTGAAAACATAATGGTTCCTCGGTGTCTAGTAGCTGGAATTTATTTCCTCGTCCTGTACTTTTTTCGAACTATCATTTAGACATTGAATGAAACGCTATTAAAACGTGTTCCTAATTCAGCATCGCGATCAAAAGCTTTTTCCACTCAGCGTCGCAATCGCTCTGTAAAGAGAAAATTCCGATATCCGGTTTTACTGAAATTTACACGAACGACAAACGACAAACGTCAAACAAATTTTGAACGTGCAATAAAGTCGCGAAAGAAAACGCGTCACAGTTATAACACTTGTTAGAATGGGCGAAACGAGATTGCCTCGAGCGCCATCTTCTTTGTAAGAAGAGAATTAATAAACTAAACTGATGTTAGAAACAGATGACCAATGTTGTAGTTTTGAAATAGAATTAATGCGAACGGATATTCCCTTCCATAGATTTAACTCAAAAGTGCAATCAAAAGCCTCTTAAAATCTTCGCCGCAGTCACTCTGTAAATGCAAACAGAATTCGGAATAAATTAAAGCGATGTTAATTGTTGAACGTAAAATATTTATGTTCGTATCTGTACATCGGAAACGCGATTAGCATGCATTACACAGAAGCGTTTTAAAATTAGTAAAATTAGTTGACCGGTGAATCATCGCAGTAATTTTTTCAATTTTTGTTTTTTAATAAAATAAGCGTTAATACAATTTAGTTGGAAATGTTTATTATTGACGTAAACGGAAAATTCACGCGAAATTTTGTAGAGGAAACACGCGATACCGTGTTCTTCGCTGAGTACGAATACGGTTAACAAAAGAAAGTTAAATTTAAGCGTCTGAAGCTTCGAAAAATATCGCAAGGAACTATAATCTCTGATATTAAAGTACAATTTGAAACAAAGGAAATCGCTGAACGTTAAACGTATTCATCCAAGTACGGCAAGCAAGAGTCTCTTGTAGTCTCCTGAACAGTCGTCCTGAAATTTATGGAAAATTATAGGGAGCAGACGTTTAGAAGAAAATACATCGTCAGATATGAAGAATTATTTCGCGTATGTGCGTTTGTAATCGATTTTCACGAACATCAATTTTGGTATGAATGTTCCTGTGAAAATATTTTGAAAATGTTCAAAATCCCTTAATCTTTAAATATCTAAATTTTCAAGGCCTTATATACCCAAGTGATCAAATCTCCAAATTTTCAAATCACTAAATAATTAAATTTACAAATTTACAAATCTTTAAATCTATAAATTTTCAAATCCTTAAAATTTTAAACTCTCAAATTTCCAAACAGTTAAATTCCCCAGTTCTCAAATTCTCAAATCCCCAAATCACTCAATTTTCAAATCCTTAAATTTCCAAATCTCTAAATTTCCAAATTCTTAAATTCGTAAGTTCTCAAATCTCTAAATTTTCAAATCCCTAAATTCTCAAATCTCCAAACAGTTAAATTCCCAAATTCTCAAATCCCCAAATCACTAAATTTTGAAAGCCTCATTCCCCAAATTTTCCAATACTCAACTCCTCATATTTACAAATTTGTAAAATTCTTTTTAACAAGTTTTTACACATTCACGTTTGTGAATACCCAAACGCGTATCATAGGAACATTCTAACGGATTTATAGCGTTAAAAATATATTTATTATATAACTTACGTCAATATCTCCTGCGAGAGACTGTCCGTACATAATTTGATAAGTTTCCTTAATATCACCCAAATCTATTTCTGATCGTGTTACAATAATACGTATCAGCGTGGAATCGTCGGTACCAAGGCCACGCATAGCTTTGTATAATCTTTCCGCGAAGTACGCTGTCTTATTTCGAGCACATTTGACTGAAATGTGAAGGAATCATAAGTTAAAGTCACGTTCGCATTCCGTTCATTACATCATATCTAAATTGGTATATGTATATCCATGTCACACAAGAAACGTATACTTCAAATATCTCATATTAAAAAACCTAGCTTATACTTAAACCACCTCTTCTACTAAATTATTTTTACAGTATTATATATTTTTATATATTAATAACTTATTAAAATAATTTAGTACAATAACCTTATTTATTCAGCAAATAATTTAGTAAGTAATCTAAGTGGACTATGTAATATTTATTTTTACTACATTCTTTTTATAATTTTACTAATTCAATTTTTACTAGATTATCTTGATTGTAATATCAGAAATAGTACCACATGTTGCCCAGGTATTTGTACACAGTGGGTTACACTTACCGACTGCGAGGTAACCATCTTCAATTGCTCCTGAAAATTCGCTCTTAATAGTTTCTTCTAAACTAACTCCAGCAAGACGTTCGTATTCCTCGAAAATCTTTCGCAATTGAGGATAACTTTTAGTTATGAGGATTGCGTTGAATGTGCTTTCGTCGGTTCCCCATTGACCTTCACCAGCCTCTTGCAATCTTTTAGCGTCTTCGATTGCAGCTTCTTCGTCAACATCGGGGTTCTCATCTCTGTTAGCCTATAAGAAAATGTTATAATAAATAATACTGTAACAAAATGTTATAATAAAGAATACTTTAATAATAAAAGTTCAAAAGAGTAGAACAGCAATTCTCAAACTGTGCAAGACCAAGTCTGGATGCTATAGAAAAAATATGGTGACCAAAGGTGAAGAGGACTTTCATTTGTTTATTTTCAAGCATCACTATAATTTATATTTCAAAATTGAGTAAATTGAATTAAGTAAACTTTGTTTATTAATAATCTTGTTGTTTGTTAATCACATACTGTTAATTTAGAACAATTACTTTGCTACAAATAAAATAGAAAAAAATATAATAGTACGCAGCTGCAAGATATCCTAAAGATGACATTCTATTTACTACTAGTATAAAATTTTTAAATCTAAAATTTTAATATCACCCGCCTACAAAAAGTTTGAGAACCACTGCCACAGAAAGCGATAAAAAAGTCACTTACGCAAGAGAGAGAAACCAAAAGCCTCTTAAAATGGCCGGACGTGTCGCTTTTCAAGTCATCCTCCAATTCATTTCCGTACACTGCAAACGTTTCACAATTGGAATTAAAAATCACGCCTCGTTTCGCTTTCTCCACAGACAATCATGCATTGTAACGTAATTGCTAGGAGATGCGTCACTGTGCGGGTTCACTTACGTTCCTTGTAAACGGCAGATATGGTCTTGATGCCATAATTGCTGAGCGATGCTAGCACCTCGATGAGAGCTCCTTCGTCCGTGCCCATACCGGAAATTGCATTATGGAGTTCTTTAGCGTAATACTCCGGCAGCGGTGTCATTAACGCTAAGATAGCCTTTTCGAAGTTACCACCGAGTTCCGATTTCAATTCGGATATCAAATCTTTTCCGTACATCGTTTTGAATTTGTCGGCAATTTCGAGACGCTGCACTATACCGCGATGGGCGAGGACGTCGATGATGGTTTGTTCGTCGGTACCGAAACCCTTCATGGCGGTTCGAAGGAGAGCAGCATCTTCTTCAGGGTTGAAAGGTTCGGCAGGGTACACCGTTGGGGTGCACTGAAATTATCGAATCTTTAATTAACTCTTCGTGGTCCACGTTCGAGATATTTCAGGCAGAACTCCTGCATTTTTAAATGTTACCGCAAGTTAACCTTGCAACAGGAGTATTTCGTAACATGTACTATGCTCAAGGTAGATTTCACTCGGTTTAAGTTCAATTTGTATTATTTTAAAACGGGAAAATGGTATACGTTACATAAATTTTTAAATTGGTAGGTATGAATATTTGAAATTGGTTTATAAATTTAAAAGCAAATTTAAAATTTTCTAGCTAGACTATTTTAGATAGGCTAGTATTATGCAATAAGAAAGAATTTTAATTACCTGCACGTGGTAGTATTGCCTGGCCGACATTGTCGCAATTAACTGCAAATTAGAAATTCACATGAAATGAGGACATATTTATTGCGATTGTCAATATAATTCTTAGTAACAAAAGTATTTTAGAAAAGAAGAAATGTATGATAAGTAGAAAAGGATTCGGTATCTGTAACATCGAAGTCATAATCGATTGACAAAATTATTAATGGAATCAAAACAGATCAATACGCAGGAGCTGACGCATCAACTATTCCAGTCCCTTATAGGAATGTAACCTTGCTACAAATATAACGAGGTAAATCTTGTTAAATTTTTTAACCGGTAAAAATAGGCAAGTGAAAATATAGTACAAGGACAGTAAACTTGTATAAAAAATTTTGAGATTCTTTTATATTGAGAACCACTGTACAATCCTGAGCGCCACACCGTCGCGGCGTCACGAAATCCACGCCGCATCCAAATTGTTGATTTACGAGCTCCTCCTATCTCTTTCTCACAAAAGTCTGCACTGTTTCTATGCCCTTGAACGAATTAATACATAAAAGTAACAATCGATCATCTGTTACCAAGTGAGTCATCGATTAATTCGTTGTGATCTGTCAATGTAAATAATCCTTTATTGTTTAGCAGATATTTACACTGTCAAAGTCGAACATGAGTATGCATGTTGAGGTGTTATATAAATTGAAGATGTTTAGATTTCTATATTTATTAGAGATATCTATAATGTGAGATTTGTTGAAGATATTTATAATCCCAGATTTAGTAGAGATATCATTGATCTGAGATTAGTAAGAGATATCTCTGTGTTTAGATTCTTAGATCTTTGAACTTTTGTATTTATAAATTTTAATATTATTGTGTATTTGGATTTTAGGATTTCTGAGTTTATATGTTCTTGAAATTCTAGATTTTTGAATCTTTAGAATTTGAGACAGATATATACCTATATTCCTGGATCTCTAAATTTCTATATGTATGATGTAGTTACATTTTAAGATCACTATCCTCAAATCCTTATAATCTCAAATTTCTGCATCTATTCCTACATTCTCAAATTTAAAAATTCCTAGATCCTTATATTTCCAAATTCCTACATCCCCAAATCTCTACATTTCCAATTCCCTACATCTCCAAATTTCTCCTTTCCCAAATCCCTATATCCCTATATTCCCAGATACCTAGATTCCTATGTTTTCAAATTTCTACATACCCAAATTCCACATTCATAAATCCCTACATCCTCAAATTTCTATATTCCTAAATCCATACTTCTCCAAATCCCCACATGCCCAAATTCCCACATCCGCAAATTCCTACATCTCCAGATCCCTATATTTCCAAATTCCTGCCTCCTCAGATCTTTATATTCCCAAATCCCTATATTCCTAGACCTCTACATTCCTACCTCTCTAATATCAATAAAAACATTACATCACTTCCATTAATATCCCACTTCTAAAATTTACATATTCATCAAACTTGTTTACATTGGCTCCACTCGAATTAGGTTAGGTTACCTCAAACACCCCAAATCTCTATTACCCTATTCTTACATCACAATACACCCATATCCTAAATAACAATCAAAATACCACACCATTCACACAAACATTTCACTTTCTAAAAACGTACATTCAGAAAAAAATTGCTTAGATCTCTTCCTCTAGGTTATGTTACTCGTTCATATGGTTCCTACATCCCAGATTCAAGTTCGCGGAACGTTATGAATCATACGCAATTGCCGGATGATTACGCAGTTGCGCAGCCAAGAATCCGCAACACGGCGTCGTACACAAACCGTTCGAAAACAGCGATGACACGATGGAACAAGATTTACGATCGTATATTTAGAAACCGATGATGTTCCATCTAAAGCCATCAATCTGAAAATACGTTCTCGTTCCGGTTAACAGAGACACTTTTGCGGTCGATTCGAATTTCACGAAACCATAGAACGTCACCTTGCGATCGGTCGCGATTTTTACGCCGACAAAGCCGCAAACGAAGGAATTTTTTTGTCACTACGCTGTTTAAGTCGATGCGTTTAATGCACGAGATTTAGGTTAATTCTATTATACTGGAAGGTCGAAGATTGATCGATAAAGAACCGTGTCTTCGGGTGTGGCTCTTACCTTGTATGTGGTACAGCGATGATGGTATCCCGCGTTCTTGGACTACTGGCTCCGTGCGGTTCTGGCAAGCGACTGAAGCAAACCGTTCCTCCTCGTCACGGATATTCTTCGTGACAATGGTGGGAGCGAAAAACCGAGAGAACGTATGTACGCGGATGATCTAAACATCGAGGTTAACGATGCAGATATTAATTGCATGAATCACGCGATTATTCAACGAATTTCTGTGCTGGTTCAAAAGTACGTGACGATTTTGGTACATACTTTACGGGATCGGGATTTAGCTTCCCGTTACGAGCATTTACGTAGCTTGAAGAGAAAGTTTGTCCATTTTAGTAGAACGGTACAGACATGGTACGTTTAACTTCTTTTTGTGGTCTGCTTCAAAAGGTTCGTTGAAGAGTATGGTTCTGTGATCTTGAGAGTTTGATGGTGATTCTGTGTGAGGCAGTGGTGTATCGAGAGGGGGCCTAGGGTATTTATGAGAGGAAAGGAGAAAGCTGTGGAAAAATTAATAGAAATCTTTGCATAATTATTGTTCACTTTACTATTGATGATTTTTTTACTATTTCTATGTGTTTTTTAAATTTTATGCGATGAGGCAGTGGTGTATTCAGAGGGGGTGTTTGGTATTTATAAGAGGAAAGGAAAAATTAATAAAAACCTTTTCATAATTCCTAGACATACTTTATTGTCTATGACTTGTTGCAGTTCATATGTGTCTTTCAAGTTCCATGTAATGCTGCAGTGGTGTATCTAGAGGGGGTCTAGGGTTTCTGGTACTTATCAGAGAAGAAGAAAAAAATTATGGAGAAATTAATAGAAATCTTTTCATAATTAATATTAATTTTATTGTTAAAAATTTTGTTTTACTACTCCTATGTGTCTTTCAAGTTCCATGCGATGAGGCAGTGGTGTATCCTGAAAGAGTCTAGGGTCTTTGATATTTATCAGAGAGAAGGAAAGAAATAGTAGAAAACTCAAAGAAAATTCTTAACTTAATTAATACTCATTTTATTATTAATGATTTGTAGCTGTTATATGTCTTTTAAATTCCATTTGTATAATAATGGTATAGCAGAAGGGGTAGGAGAGGAGGAGGGTCTAGGGACCCTGATATTAATCAAAAGAAAAGAGGAAAAATTAATAGAAAATTTTTAAAAATTCTTTAGCTAATTAATAATTATTTTATTATCAATATTTTATTGCTGTTTTAAAGCAATTCTTAAATAACGTTAAAAACCATTTTCTAGTTTAAATTCACCTCTTTTTATTTATGTTGTATATACTACATATTCAACTTTCATTTATATTGTATATACTATACAATTTTTAATATAAAAATTGTCTATACAATATGAATATATATTGTATATATAAATCTTGTATACATCTTGTGTTATACAACAGTGTATTGAATATCATACATTCAACAATAAAGTATGTATACTACATGTCTATTATTTCTGAATTAGTTATTAATAATTAATTAATTATGAATTAAATACTCAATCAAGTATGAATTATTATTAAATATGAATTAATTACTTATGAAGACTTTTATCAATAAAAAATTATAAAAAAATATAATAAGAAATTAGTATCAGTACCATTTTTATTCATCAAATTCGACCGCTTTCGAGATTAAATAAATTAGTGCATTACTGCGTTATCAACGCTTGCCTCATTAGTGAAAGATTTTCTTTTTTTATACGCATTACTAATGAACAGCGTAATCGCTGTTTATAAATACGATTCATACGATATGCTTTACCACAAACGTCCGTCACGTGACCGGTTACCATTCGGTAAAAATCAAATGCACTTTCAGTATTATCGGCATCAGAGATGTCGAGAAATAATCATTCTGTTGTGTACAATAAATTGCGTGTATTATTTATTTAGGTCTAGAATATATAAATTCTCAAAGTTACTTTCTGGAGTCTCAGATTGTTGAAGTCTGATTACTCTGACGGTCATAAATTTATAAATTTAAACATTTAGGAATTCTCATATTCCTATAGTTACGATCTTCAAATTCAAAAATTTAAACAATTTATAAATTCAAAAATTCTAAGAACCCTAAATCAGTAAATTTTTATATTTTCAAATTTCTAAGTTAGCTAATTCCAAAAGGCACATATCTCAAAGTTTCCAAATTACTGAAATCCCAAAACTCTTAACCTTAAAATCCAAAAGTTTTAAATTCCTAATTTAACAAATTTCTGAGTTTATAAAATCCAAAAACCCCAATTTCCTAAATTGCTGCAGTCCCACATTCCTGAATCTCCAAATTTCAAAAACCCCAAATTCCTGAAGTTCTGGATTCCTATGTTTCCAAATTCCAAAAGCACCAAGTCCCTAATTTCCCAAATTTCTACAGTCCCAAATTCCTAACTCTCCAAATTTCAAAAGCCTCAAATTCCTAACTCTCCAATTTTCAAAACACCCAAATTCCTAACGTTCCAAATTTCTAAATTTCCAAATTCCTAAATCGCCAAATTTCAAAACACCCAAATTCCTAACGTTCCAAATTTCAAAAGCCTCAAATTCCTAACTCTCCAATTTTCAAAACACCCAAATTCCTAACGTTCCAAATTTCTAAATTTCCAAATTCCTAAATCGCCAAATTTCAAAACACCCAAATTCCTAACGTTCCAAATTTCAAAACACCGAAATTCCTAAATCTCCAAATTTCAAAAATCTCAAATTCCTACTGTACCAAATTTCTAACTTCCCAAATTCCAAAAGCGCTAAATCCCTAACTTCCCAAATTCCCAAATCCTCAAAATCCAAAAATTCTAAATCCCTAAATTCCCAAATCCCCACAATTCCAAATTTCCAAATTCCCATATTCCCACATTCTCAAACTTTAGAATTCCCAATTTTCTCTAGTCCCAGATTCTCAAATTCCCCCATGTTCCCGCGAAAAGCGACGGCCCTGTCAACGTCATACTACGTATATCATTCATTATTAATCTCAGTGTATTAACTCATGTACTAAAATCGTAGAATATACAAATACAGCGAATCACGAGCGACTCAACAAGTTATATACGCACATTACGTAGAATCGTAATTACTAATGAATGAGTCGACATACGTAATTTCGGTGACGTGGAAAATAAATCTGCGGAGTGCGACAAACGCAGTGGTACCGACTACTGTGGTTCAGTAAACTCCTGTAAGGGGGCATTTGCATTAGGCAAGTGGTCAGACAAGTAGATGATGCTCGCTCACTCATTGTCAGTTCAAACGTTCCTTTAACTCTTTACACTTACAAGAAAAATCAAAATCAGGATAAAAATCGATGAAAATTGAACTTACAGTAAATCAACTAACAAAAAGAGTAGTTGAACATTGATATTTTACTTTTAATTCTTACTTGTTCTATTGAAAAATTATTGCTGAAGAATTTATATTTGTAAGCATGCACTTTTTGATTTTTCAATTTAAAGAAGGGTAGTTTTAACAAATTTCGAGTGCAATAAATAGGTTCTTGAAAATAGTCTTCAAAATGAATGAGTTGAATGACTTATTAAGAACTGGCTAAGAATATGTTTATTAAGAACTGTTTATTGCAAATGGTTATTAAATGTTTATTCGTTTATATAATTATAATGAAGTGTACAATAGAAATTAACTTCACTGAATGTTAAAATTTAAACATTTAGATACACAAAAAAAAATAAAATGTCTATGAAAAAGAAATTTTATTGCAGTGGGATTTGAAACCCAGGACCTTACGAATATGAAACCACAGAATTTTTCAATGATCCAAATTATAACGAGATAATTATGTTTTATATATTTTATTCTTTGTACTGGAAATTTTTGAAAATTTCTTTTCCTGAAATTGACTAAAAATTGCATTCTTTCTGTTTGAAGAAATAACTCCTACAATATTGACTTCCCATTATAAACTGTAAATATAGAAAAAAACTCCTTTTTTTTTTTTCCTTAACCGACTCCTTTTTCGAAGTCGGTTAAAAATTGAAACGAGAATATGAATATTTGATCATAAAATTCAAATTCAGTACCGTGAAACTTTTCCACATGCAATGTTTCATGTTGTATGATCTTGTTCATGTTCTACAGCTTGATAGTCTAAACAATATTGTTTGCAGTAAAGAACAATGATGTTAGACTTTTAACATGGTTGTCGGAACCTAACCTGACCCAGTAAAACAACTGTCGTGAAGTGAAACGAATAGAAATAGCGATGTAAAATCATTTTTACACTAGCTTTTATGGTAGAACAATTTCTCTATTGATTTTATTTAAAGGTCACATTAAATCGATGTTAGAAGATTGGCTCGAAGTGATAAATCAACGGAAAATTGATAAAGTATGACAGAGTTTAAAATACGAGAGATTGAAAAAAAATTGAGATTTGAGGACTCGAAATTTGAGAAATTGGAAATTTGAGAATTGGTGAATTTGCGATTTTGAAAATTTGTGAATTTGGAAATCTGAGATTTTGGAAATTTGAGAATTTGGGATTCTGAGAAATTGGAAATTTGAGAATTGATCAATTTGCGAAATTGGAAATTTGAGAAGTTGGAAATCTGAGAAGTTGGAAATTTGAGAATTTGGTAATTTGTGAAATTGGAAATCTGAGAATTTGGAAATTTGAGAAATTAGAAATTTGTGAAATTGGAAATCTGAGAATTTGGAAATTTGAGAAGTTGAAAATCTGAGAGTTTGGAAATTTGAGAAATTGAAAATCTGAGAATTTGGAAATTTGAAAATTTGGGATTTTGAGAAATTGGAAATCTGAGAATTTGGTAATTTGAGAGTTGGCAAATTTGCGAATTTGAAAATTTGAGAAATTGAAAATCTGAGAAGTTGGAAATCTGAGAATTTGGAAATTTGAGAAATTGAAAATCTGAGAAGTTGGAAATCTGAGAATTTGGGATTTTGAGAAATTGAAAATCTGAGAAGTTGGAAATCTAAGAATTTGGAAATTTGAGAAATTGGAAATCTGAGAATTTGGAAATTTGAGAAATTGGAAATCTGAGAATTTGGTAATTTGCGAAAATGGAAATTTGAGAGTTGGCAAATCTGCGAATTTGAAAATTTGAGAAATTGGAAATTTGAGAATTTGGAAATTTGAGAATTCGGGAATTTATGTATAATACCATAGATAATACCATAGATTTAAAAAATATTTATTTCAAGTTATCGTATTAAACTGAACGATAAATGTGAATCACCTCTCAAGTGCAAAGATTTAATATCTAAAAAATGAACCTTATTTATAAGAACCTTTCCAGTAATCTGTATCAGACTTCAATAAAAGTAACCATTCGATTAACCACTACTTCCTTCACTTTTCCTTTCTCTACTCTATTTTCCAATTTCTTTTTATATCCCATACAAAAGTACATTTTTGCACCATGCATACCGTACATACAATAGCGAGTACAGGGGTGAATAATTTAAGCAGTGTATAAATAGGTTCTATTTTGGAATGCAACCTCTTCCTAAGCTCATCCGCGTGCAGTTACAGTTTATCTGTCTGTGAAAACGGTTCATTATTCTTGCAAATTAAAAGAAATTTCATAATCCGTTGTATCATCGATTGGCAATTATATAACATTCGTTGATAGCTAGTTCCAGTTACTCGTTGAAACTTGGAAAAAAAAAGTGGAACAAGTTTACGCGATAGGGTTATCGTAATCTTCTCCTACGAAATAATAATTCCAGTTCTTGGACACTGTTATGACACACCTGTGACTAAAGATACTTTCTTTGAATCGATTTGTTACATCACTCTTGTATATTGCTCGGGGATCGCGTGCTACGTAGGTTTACTGTGGATAGGGAGTGTCGGGGGCGGAGTTCTACGACGTTCGACTCTGCTGTTTCATTTCCAAACCCCTAAAATTTTATGTTTCGGCATTTTATTGATTTTTAGACGATTTTCAAGTTTTCAAATTTTCAATTTTCCTAATTTCTTACATTTACAAATTTCTAAATTTTCACAGTTCCAAATTTCTCGGTTTCTTGGAGTTTCGAAGTATCAAGTATTTGAATTTTCAAATTTCCCATTTCTCAAATTTCTAAATTTCCACATTTCCAAATTCACTGATTTTTCAGATTCTTAGAGTTTCAAAATATCAAGTATTTGAATTTTCAAATTTCTAAATTTCCACATTTTCAAATTCACTAATTTTTCAGATTCTTAGAGTTTCAAAATATTAAGTATTTGAATTTTCAAATTTTCAAATTTCCCATTTTTCAAATTTCTAAATTTCCACATTTCCAAATTCACAAATTTTTCAGATTTTCAGAGTTTCAAAATATTAAGTACTTGGATTTTCAAATTTTCAAATTTCCCATTTCTCAAATTTCTAAACACCCAAATTCACTCATTTTTCAAGTCCCAAAATTTTCAAAATATCAAATGTTTGAATTTTCAAATTTTCCAAATTTTCATACTTATCAATTTCCCAATAACCCAACATTCCAATAACCATTTCCAAACTTCTAAAATTCCAATTCTCAAATTTTCAATTTTTCAAATTTCTGAATTTTACAAATTCACTAATTTCTTAAGTCCCAAAATTTGTTAATTATCAAGTGTTTGAATTTCCAAATTTTCCAAGTTTCCAACTTTTCAAACTTCCAATGTTCCTATTTCTAAAATTACAAAATTTCTAAGTCTCGAAATTTCTTAAATTCTCAAATTTAAAAATTTATCAACTCCAAAATTCCTGAATTTCTAAATTCTCAAAATCTCAAATTCTCAGCTTTTCAACTTTGTTTCTAGATGCAACTTTATCAGTCATGTAACAGCGTTTAATACAAATTTAACAAATTTCAAAAAGTTGCCTTCCGAGGCTTCAAGATCATTATAAAAAGACTGTCAAGTTTGTTGAAAACTTTGAAAAGTAATATGCCAGTCGAATGTACATATAATTCGAAGAAGAGTTGAGAAATAGCATGCATCAGTGATAACAAGTTTCATCGATGGAAAATCGATCCGCTTGTGCAGTTTGTGGAGGTGAATCGGTCTTTAAATGCAGTGCATGCGGAAATGTTTATTATTGCAGTAAAAAGCACCAGAAAGAAGATTGGAAACGACATGTACAATTTTGCAGGGCATTTAAGGTACGTTTTTAGGATTTATGTTTGCTTTGATGAGTAATATGCATTTTTAAATTGGTAAATTAGGAGATTATTAAGTTAACATAATCTTAAAATACTAAGTTAATAAATTAGAAAATTAACACAATTACTAAATTACCTAACACTCAAATTCTCAAATTACCAAATTAACCAAATTACCAAATTACCAAATTACCAAATTACCAAATTTCCAAATTACCGAAATTTCTAAGTTCTCAAATTCCCAAATTACCAAATTACCAAATTCCCAAATTCCTAAATTTCCAAATTAT